TTGGGGCCACAATGCGGCCAAGGCCATATACTTGGGGCCAATGTGGCATATACTTGACTTATTTCCACTGCCAGACACACAGGCACGCGAATGAATGGAAAGCTGAAAAATGCAAAACATTTTCCGCGAGAGGATCCGATCCACAAAGTCCCCCTTGCCGTGCCATCCAGAACCCGTCGTGTTATCCACTGCGCCATCCGATCCGTTTGCAGTGGTCGTGAAGGGTTTGCTGACAAAAACATCACTCTTGCGTCGGTGCATGCCAAGTGTGTTACCACATGATACTTACATTTTGACTTAATCGAATCTATTTTGAGGCCTAATTAGTGACCACCTCATAAACTATGCATGCTCGAAGTTACAAGCAGAACGGAGCCCATGTTAAAACCGCCCATTCCTGTCAAATTTTTTCACTCAGTTTTTGACCTACCCAGAAACGCATAGCAAAAATGAAACCCATTTTTGTGACCCTTGTATGGACCCCTACAACAAGCAACAAACCATTTCCAAAAAGCGCGCCATGACCTGAAACACCTCCCTTGTAAGCTTCCTGGATTTATGATGAATGGTGAATGTTCGCGAGGTGTGATTAGCCCTGGGCATTTGCAATTGATCATTGATAAGAGGAATGAGGGAGATAGTAGCACCTCAACAACGGAAATTAGGGAAAATATTTGCTATAGGTACAGATGAGTTCTCATCTGACGGTGGGGCGGTACTATGTCCACGTTGGCGAGCGGTCCGACGCCGTCGCGATCGATAGTGGCTGATACGCCCACTTAAACTGATTTCTGTTGTTTTCAGCTTCTAAAAGCTGAAATTATTTTCTTTCGGCTTCAGTAAGGAAAGGTAAGCATGTTTCCCTGAAGCTGACTTTCATTTCGCATTTATTCAGTCAATAACGTCGAAACTGATCGATGCATTGATGACATTCACGAGAATTTAAAAAATTGCTAAAATAGAAGGAGGAGGTCAATTTTCTACAAGAAATTCATGCAAAGTGTAATTTAGTTCTGAAACAAACTTACCGTTCCGAATTGAAGTGGAAAAAAACAACAATTTCAGCTTCTACAAGCTGGCTACAACAAAAATACAGCAAAAAATACTGCAAAAACAGCTGACTTGGAGCGTCAGCAATTATCGATCGGCGAGGGTCTAGACGGAAGAGTGGGCAGATATGCATTTGCGTGTCTTTGAGTGCAGGATCAATGTCAGAGAGCGCAGATGATAATCGCACTAGGCCACCGCTTTCCTTCAACACGCAACCGTCGGACCGCTCGCCAGCGTGCTCGTAGGACTGCCTCACCATCGCATGAGAGCCCACTGTATAGGGATGGGTACAAATATACTGCCGGTGGATTGCTGTATAGGGTTCAATATAAGATGCGCAGTAGTGCTCGTTAGCCAAACTAGTGTATAATGCGCTGGGCATGCCTGCATGTGCCATCTCTGGGTGCCAAAACTCTTAGCGCTTGGTCGCAGCAACAGTAAGACATTGCTTTCAGGAGTTGATGTAGGCAGTGAGGCAATAATTGTCACATATGATTCATTATGTGTTGCACGCCGTAGTGCTCGTTAGCCAAACTAGTGTATAATGCGCTGGGCATGCCTGCATGTGCCATCTCTGGGTGCCAAAACTCTTAGCGTTGGTCGCAGCAACAGTAAGACATTGCTTTCAGGAGTTGATGTAGGCAGTGAGGCAATAATTGTCACATATGATTCAATTATGTGTTGCACGCCGTAGTGCTCGTTAGCCTAA